TTGCCACTATTTGTAACTGCTCTCAGCAACTTGCACCAAGCTCCAGATAGCTTCTAACTCATCTTGGGGACCTGTAGGAGGGTGGCCGACCAGTTGTTGGTGTGGGAGACCACCTACCAACCACTTTTTGTTGTTGTAGGGCAGAAAAAGTGGTTGGCCAGCTAGTTTTTCTGGCTAGCCGACCAGTGGTTGCTGTATTTTTCCACTTTGCTACAACAGAGAGCAAGAAAGGGCATGGCAATGTATTTGTAAGATATGTGTGCACAACCACCCTCCCTATCATTTCATAAGCTCAAGGGAGTATGGTTCTTGACCCTCAGACCACCAATCGTGCATTTCAATGCATGATGGCCGAGAGGCGAAGTTGCACAGTCAATATGAAATGAATGCACAAGTAAACACATAAAGCCTAGAACTCTATTATGTATGATCAAGAGCGTCAGGGACCGGGAATTAAGGCACGTTTTATCACTTAAAGTATGAAATGCCCCTTGTTTCCCGTGTTTGGACTAACACCTATTCCAAACACAATGCAACACATAACATGGCATGCACAATGCTATGTAACATGGAGTATGCAAAAATGCAATGCAACACAAGCATGCAAATATGTAATATAACTTAAGCATGCAAACATACAATGCAACATGAACAACCTAACAAGGCTAATGGCATGCACAATGCACAATGCTAAGAACAACATGGCCCACTTAATGCAATGTGACATGATTAACTTAACAAAACTAATAACATGCAAACTATGCTAATGCATGCACAATGTAAACAACAACTAACATACACAATGCAAATGACAACTAGCATACACAATGCAAATGGGCATGGCATACACAAATGCAATGAACCAATATGCAAACAACATGGCATACACAATACTTAATGGACTTAAACCAAAATGGACAGACCTCAGCCATGTCTAAATCAGTGGCCATAACACCAAAACGAAGGCACAAAAGACAAGGTATGCATGCACAATGCATTGGCCTATCAACTAGGCCTAAGAGCACAACCCTCAAGAAGGCTCAAGGAGTGACAAATGCAAAAGTGTAACAACACTAAATGCACTGAAATTAAGTAAGAAATGATGCCAAATCATTCAATCAAACACAAGTATAGCATGCAAAGGTCCTAAAGCATGAAAGCTAATAAAGATGACTACAAAGGAGGCATGCAATACATGGAAAAAATGCATGAAACAACCATGGACAGAGCTCAATTTGGTCTAAACAAAGACCAGAACATGCTAAGATAGAGACTCAAATACCTAGGCAACATGGCATACATGCTAGGCCACAAACTAGGCAACAATGCACAACGCTCAAAGGCACTTAAAGAGTGAATGAAGTGGGAATATCTCAATCCTACATGCTCTGAAATAAAGTATTAAATGATGCCAAATCATCTAAGTAACTCAAAAATAGCATGCATGAGTCATCAAAACACAAAGCTAGCAAGGCCAATTGCACTACAGCTATACAAAGCATGAAGCATATGGCAAGGGCAACCCAAAACAGTCCTAGAATATGTCAAAATGAGTCTAAAACATGTATGGAAGGAAGCCAAAACAAGCTAACATGAAAAGCATAAGGCATAATGCATACAAGGCAAATAAGGTGGATTACACTACACCTATTAAGACCAAGCATGGGATGACTTAACCAATAAAAATCAGAGTTATATCTTGGCAAAATAACCCCAAAAAACACATTGAAATGATAGCTCGCAAGCTTAGGCATGAAGGCATACGCAATGATTCATGTTAAGGCATAAAGGGGCAAACCCTCCAACGCATTGAATGAGTGATAAATGCAAGTGCATGACCATGAAACATGGACTGAAATCACATAATAAATGATGCCAAATCATTCAAATAGTCCAAGTAATGCATGCTAATGGACTTGATGCACAAACCTAACAAGCTAGAATGAACCATGGCTATACAAAGCAAGTCATGTATGGTCAAAACAACACAAATCAGAGCTAAAGCATGCTAAAACATGGACAAAAGCTTCTCAGAGTTAAGCCAAAAGCATGCTAAAATGACATGTTAAAGCCTATGTTAGGCTAATTTATGGAATTGCACTACAAGTGCATGGAGCATGCAAAGGCCAACCAAACCAAACCCTAACAGAGGTATGACATGGCAAAAATCACCAAAAACATGCTGAAATGGAAACAAAACAAGCTAGAATGACATGCTACTTCATGAAGCATACAAGACTCGTTTGTGAGATTTACACTACAAGTGTATTAGGCATGCATGGAGTGACAAAACCAAGTAAAAATAGTGGCACGCCATGCTAAAATAAGCCCAAATACAAGCTAAGATATGGCCAACATAAGCTTAACAAACATGCTCACACATGAGGCATATGAAGCAAGTATTTAAGACACAAGGAGAAGGGATGACCCTCTCCTATTTGGGACCTCAAAACACCACTTCCACCACTGAAATTCCTCTGAGTTTCAGTGGTGAGAAGGTCAAAACAAGGTGGTCCCAAAAGCTCAAAAAGAAGGCACAGAAGCAAGGCCAAATAAGGCCTCAGAGGGGGTAGACAACCCCCAACACAAAAGTGACCTTAAACAAACATTTTAAGGACCAAAAAACAGAAATTTTTGCAGTAGGAAGTTAGTCCTAAAACAGCATGCAAAAGGGTCCAAAAGCTTAAGCAAGAACAGGGGTTTAAGAGGTTAAAGGCTCACCCTTGATGAACACCTTCAAAGCTGCAGCTCCAGCAAGTTTTTCAAGCTCAAACCAAACCAAAAACCTCAAAACTAGCTCCTAAGCACCTCAGCAACAAAAGGATGGTGTTTGAGTGTGTGTTTGTGTAAAAAAGTGTGATAAAATGACACTTTTAAGGCACAAAATGAAGAACAAGAGCAAGATAGATACAAGTATGTATGCATTACTCTCAAGCCTCAGAACTGAACCTGGAGAAGGGAGGGGGAGCCTCCTTCTTATAGAGAAGCTAAGGGTTCAAGGCCATCCCTCCATACACGTGTATGGAGGATGGTTTCAGTGCTCTCCAGCTGTGCCAGCTGGCTAAAAATATCTCCCAAAATGTGACAAAAAGCAACCGACCACTTGAAGTGGTCGGCCAGCTACTTTAAGTGGTCGGCCGACCACTATAAGTGGTCTCCCAAAAACAAAACTGGTTGGCCATGGTAGGAGAAGGTCAACAGCATGAAAACAATGCAGTGGTGTGGTGGTCGACCAGAAAAGATGGCCCAAAGACCAAGTAGACCAGTTGTCAGACCAGAAAACTGGCTGGCAGGAAGGAAAGTGATTTACGGGGAGAGAAACTGGTCTCCCACCCTTGTACCACCTTCTAAACAAGGTTTGTACCAAAAACAAACCAAAATGGATGCAAGACAAAAGTCCGGGAGGCAAGGCGCGCAGCTGGGAGTCCCGAAAACTAGCTGACGAGCACCAAAAGTGGTTTACGACCACAAAAGTGGTCTTCCCAAACCACAGTGGCCCTCTAGGCAAAGAAAACAAGGTGTGGTTCAAAAACCACGCCAAACGAAGAACGTTAAGCAGTCCCAAGACATGGCGCGTGGCCAAAGGCTCTGAAAATCGAAAACTAGTCTCCAAGCGGGAAAAGTGGTCTACGACCACGAAAAGTGGTCTACAAGACCTCTCCTTACCCCAGGCAAGGACAATGAGGCTTGGTCCACAAACCGAGCCGAAGCACAAAGAGTTCAGAGGCCCGGAGGCAAGGCACTCAGCCGAAACTCCAAAAACTCGAAACGAGCACAACATGCACTATCACCGAGTGCTCAATCAATGACGTCTGAGTCTTGAGGTCGGTAAAAAATGGGATGTCTACACCAACTTATCAAATTCATCTACACCTCCTAACCGGACTTACCAACGTATTTACCCCCATAACATTTCACGAATAGTATTTCACATTTTTTCATTCTCATGCAGATGATTTCAATTCTCAATTCAACACTTGCAACAATAGGTGCCAAAAATGTTTATGCAACATGCCGAAGCTAAATAAAAATCTTGTTATAATCATTTGAATGAATGTGTAATGCCATAATTGTTTGTTTTTCAATATAATACCCATAATACATAATAATGATCAACTTTCTTTTCTCCTTGCAATGTTATTCCACATATAGCCCAAAGTTCGTTACCAATCCTCACCATTACAATAACATGCCCACAATCCATATACTTCCATTACTTTCACCATTCCTAGTGATATTGCAAATATTTGAAAAGGGTGCATGAAAATGCAACCTAAGTGTGATGCATAACAATGCGAGTAAAACAAGCATAACAATGCAAGTGAAGTGTGCATAATAAAAGCAAGAGAGGAAAGTGTGCATAACAATGCGAGAGTGGTATAACTTCAATAGCATGCCTTGAAACAAAATGCCGGTTAAAGAAACACAAGCCTTAACGAGAACCGGACCCTCTGATTTACCTCTCAGAGAGGTCACAACATACTTAAAAAAAGGATACACCTCACTCTTTGACAAGTGACGATGAGCCATGCATCGAAGACTTGAATTGAAGTTCCCGCGGGGACAATTTCGCGCCAAAAAGTGTACTTTTCTTGCACTTTCCCGAGAGCCGAGGACTCCAATCACCACCAAAACGCACAGGGAGAGTAATGGAGCTCTGAAGATCATCCAAGAGGTTGGCTGACCAGTTGTTGACCACCAAAGTGGTCGGACGACCAGAAAAACTGGCTGGCCGACCAGTTTACAGAATTCGGGGTAGTTTTGTCTTTTCAAGGCCGAATCTTTAAATGGATAGCTCCAAATCACTTTTGCTCACACCTCCAAGGCCGAAATGCATTTCTCTCCATCCCTAGACCCTTTTCTCTATCAGATCTGCACTTTATACACGTTTTTCAACGCCCCACGCGAAGTTATTTCGCAAAAACTTTTGATTCTCTTCATTTTGAACCGATTAGAATTTGTTTTCGGAGCTTCTTTCTCCATTTCCACCACTTGAGGTAAGTTTCTCTCGAACTTTAGCACCTTTTCTTGGGCGTTGACTTTTGTTGACTTTTTCTCTTCCCGAGAGTTAACTTTTGTTGATTTTTTGCAATTTTGGCTCATTTCACTCGCTTTTGCTCATTTTTACAGATTTCTTCAGATGGTCGACGATATTCCATATGGCGGAGGCTCCCCGAGGGTAGAGGATGAGCCCGACGTTATGTTGTTGCCTCTGAGGATACGACCGTTCGACCCAGAGAGGTACCACCCGCGGGAGCATATACTACCTCCCAGTACCTTCCATCATTTTACCGACTTCGCGCGACAGGCGCCCACAGACTTACTGCTACGGGAGCCGAAGTGTCATCTATCTCATCATGCGCGAGAGGTACGTACTTCACTTTTAATTTCCATGCTTTCGTTATGTATCATGTCTACTCGTTCTGAACACATTCACATACACAGTACTTCTGCATGTTCTGAACATAACTTGCACACAACATCCAGTTCATTTGGGCACACAGCTCTCAACAAAACACTTTGTTCACTTGGCACGCAGCTCACGACATAGCATTCCATTCATTTGGCACACAGCTCACAACGCATCACTTTGTTCGTTTGGAACGCAGCTCTTTTGGGCACGCAGCACATTTAGGCACACAGCACATTTGGGCACACAGCTTACTTTGGGCACACAGCTCATTTGGGCACGCAGCTCATTTTAGGCACACAGCTCATAACATAGCACACTGTTCAATCTGAACACGCAGTTCATAACACAGTATTCTGCTCAATTTGAACACACAGTCCATAACGCAGCTTTTGCTCAATCTGAACACAGTTCATAGGACAGTTTTTGCTCAATCTGAACACACAGTTCATAACGCAGGTTTTGCTCAATCTGAACACGCAGTTCATAACGCAGTTTTTGCTCAATCTAAACACGTAGTTCATAATGCAGTTTTTGCTCAATCTGAACACTCAATTCATAACGCAGGATTTGCTCAATCTGAACACGTAGTTCATAACGCAGGATTTGCTCAATCTGAACACACAGTTCATAACGCAGTTTTTGCTCAATCTGAACATGCAGTTCAAAATGCAGGTTTTTCTCAATCTAAACACGCCGTTCATAACACACGATTTGCTCAATCTGAACACGCAGTTCATAGCGCAGTTTTTGCTCAATCTGAACACACAGTCCATAACGCAGTTTTTGCTCAATCCAAACACGCAATTCATAATGCAGTTTTTGCTTAATCTGAACACACAGTTCATAACGCAGTTTTTTGCTCAATCTAAACACGCAGTTCTTGCTCAATCAGAACACACAGTCCATAACGTAGTTTTTGCTCAATCTTAACATAGTTCATAACGCAGTTTTTGCTCAATCTGAACACGCAGTTCATAACGTAGTTTTTGCTCAATCTAAACACACAGTCCATAACGCAGTTTTTGCTCAATCTAAACACGCAATTCATAATGCAGTTTTTGCTTAATCTGAACACGCAGTTCATAACACAGTTTTTGCTCAATCTGAACACACAGTCCATAACGCAGTTTTTGCTTAATCTGAACGCACAGTTCATAACGCAATTTTTGCTCAATCTGAACACACAGTTCATAACGCGATTTTTGCTCAATCTGAACGCGCAGTCCATAACGCAGTTTTTGCTCAATCTGAACACATAGTTCATAACGCAATAGTTGGTTTAGTTTGCACGCAGCTCATAACATAGCACACTGTTCAATCTGAGCACACAGTTCATAACACAGCATTCGGTTAATTTGCAAACAGCTAATAACACTGCTCAATCTGAACACACAATCTATAACGCAGTATTCTTTTAATTTGCACACAGCTCATACAGCACACTGTTCAATCTAAACACGCAGTTCATAACACAGCATTCTTTTTGACTTGCACACGGCTCATAACACTGCTCAATCTGAACACACAGTTCATAACACGGCATTCTTTTTGACTTGCACACAGCTCATAACACTGCTTAATCTGAACACACTGTTAATAACACAGCATTCTTTTTGACTTGCACACAGCTCATAACACTGCTCAATCTGAACACACAGTTCATAACACAACATTTTTTTTTACATTGAAACTGAATACATCTGTTCTTTCTACATGCAGGTATCTTCCCATTTCACATGGGATTACGGATCGATCATCGCTAGGGAGTGGTACATGGAGCTCCCAGATGCTGTCCGGCATATTGTGGACGAGGTAGGGTTTGGCCCCTTTTGTGCGGGACTGTTGCGTCATCGGACGAGCAGGACCCTTCTGGGTGCACTTGTAGAGAGATGGTGGGACACCACCAACTCCTTCTATTTTTCTGCCACCGGGGACATGACGATGACCCCGTATGACTTCTCCATATTGACGGGCCTCGACGTGGTAGGCCGGCCGGTCCCATACGACGCGGACATGAGTGGGAGGCAGCTTGGACTTACCTACTTGGAGCTCATCCGCCGCCCTACAGATCACCGGGCATGGTTAGGTACACCTGGTTTGCAGAGCAGTACAGATGGATTATGCCCAAGACTATGGAGGCCCTACAGCAGTATGCCCGGGGGTTTTTGATGTTCCTTCTCGGGACCACTCTGCTCTCCGACAGGGGAACATAGTTGGGCTTTATCTACTCAGTGCTCTGGTAGACTTATCACAGGTCCGACACTTGGATTAGAGCGGCGCTGGCCTCGCTACCCTTTACTGCTACAGAAGCGCGACCTCCCGAAAGCGAGGGACCATAGTAGGTGGCTACTGGCGAGCCTGGGAGGTACATTCTGCCCTCTTGATTTACATTTATTCTTTTCATTATTTGTATACTGCACATGGCACACATTGCACATATTACATTCTGTACTCTATATTCTGCACTCAGCATTCTGTATTTTCCATACATTCAGTCTTCTGGCAACCACTGTCTTGCCTTTCACAGCTATGGGTTTATGCCTACTTCCCGACACTCACCCCTGAGCTCGAGGTCAAGGCACCTCTCGAGATCCCTTATTCATGCAGATTCGATGGTCGGTTCCGGTCTAAGCCCCGGGAGACTCGGTCATATTTGAGGCAGTACTTTAACACCGTCCGGGCGACCGAGGTAAACCAGAACTCTCAGTTCTTTAGGCTTTCAGCTTTGATTTATCTTGCATATTTATGACATCTAATCGGTTTATGCACTTGCTATTCGCAGATCACTTGGCAGCCTTGGCTGGCGATACCCGGGTATTCTCGATTCGAGTTCGCGCATGGGGCGCATCTCGATACAGGGTTTTGTTCGAGGGACCAGCCGGCAGAGCCTGGTTTCTCGAGGATCGCTTCATGCGCCAGACGATGGGTAATCCCACTCAAGATATCCCCTCAGCACCTTCACTAGACATACGGTCCACAGAGAGTCTCACCCCCTGGGAGGTTGACGACCTTATGCTGGGTTCCGACATAATTTTTTTCCTGGAGGAGGAGTACGTGACATACTGCCATACATACTTGATGCCTCCACTAACAGGTGTCCGTACTCCTACAAGGAGGGTTGCTGATATGCCATCATCGAGTCGCGCTCGAGCTGCAGACGTCCCTTCCACTAGCAGGGCCGGTACATCGAGGGGTGGGGCTAGAGGGATCCCCCCGACTTGTCATTACGCTGGGTGGCCAGATCTTTCGACCAAGCTGACGGGCTGGCAGTATGGGACATCATACTCAATTCCACTGGAGCCTCTGATGCCCGACCATCGATACATCAATGACCCTGACTCACCACCGGTATGCTTCACAGTTTTCGTTTATCACTTAGATATTTAGACATTCATTCATTCACTGATGACTTGAACTTGCATCTGCAGCCTCCCAGAGAGTATACTGAGGGATTGCTCAGAGTGGTGGCCTCACTTGAGAGCATGGTCCTGCCAAGGGAGACGCTGCTGTATGCCTCCGGCGTTCGGGTATTTTTTAATTCCCTTACATTTATCATACTTTTGATGACATATGGAAACTGAACATTTCATTGTATCGATTCATTGTATGTGTAGAGCACATTTGGCACATCACATTCACATACTATATCTGCATGCACCCATTCTATGTATCATTCTTGACTCTACATCTGATATACATACTGGCTGATACATTCAAACTGTCCTTTTCAGGTCCCACTTCTACAGACTGGGCCATTTAGGCCTTCTAGAGCAGCTAGGAGAGGGGTCTCAACTCGCAGCCGGGGGGGACGCAGAGCACCTGCCAGACAGGATGATGAGTCTAGCGAGGAGGAGGAGTCAGAAATAGAGGTATATCATAGAAGATAGAGTTACTAATGAATCTGCGAACCTATTGTTCTCTTAACAGATGAGCGAAGTTCAGTTTCTCAAACCGAGGAATCAACGCGTCCAAGGTCTGGTGGTAAATTCTCATCTTTTCTTCTTTAACTTTCCAATCTCCTTTAGCTTGAGATATAACAAGGTTCAAGTCCTCGATGACATCCAACCGTTTTGCCCCTAGTTCTAGGGTGGCTTCTAAACCGGCAATACATGCCTCATATTCTGCCTCATTGTTCAATACTTTGAACCGGAGTTTGAATGCTAGAGGTATACGGGAATTGTCAGGTGCTATCAGCAACACCCATATCCCATACCCGTATTGGTTTGACGCTCCATCAAAGTACATCGTCCAAGTTTCTTCTTCGATGTGCAGAATGGCCTCGTCTGGGAATAGGTAGTCAACTGCTTCATCCCCTTCAATTGGGTGATCGGCTAGGAACTCTGCTACCGCTCTCCCTTTTACTGACTTGCACGTCGGCCCTGTTTGGTACAGCTTAATTTCAGCTTATTTCAGCTTTCAGCTTAATTTAAGCTATTTTGATGTGTTTGGTTTAGCTTATAGCTTATAGCTTATAGCTTTGTGGAAGTCAGAAAACAGCTTATTCTTTAAGTGGGGCAGGAGATGCTTTAAGAATAAGCTGGAAATCAGCTTAAGCTGAAAGTTATAAGCTATAAGCTGTTTAGGCATAAGCTATAAGCACTTTCCCACAGCTCTACCAAACAGGGCCGTCATGTACTTCAGATCAAATTCAGAAAGCAGAAGCAGCTAACGGGCTAGCCTACCCGTAAGTGCCGGTTTCTCGAAGAGATATTTGATGGGATCTAGTCTCGAAACCAGTATTACGGAGTGAGCTAACAGGTAGTGCCGCAGCTTCCTGGTAGCCCATACCAAGGCCAAACAAGCCTTCTCCAGCGGAGTGTAGCGGGTCTCATAATCCAGCATTTCTTGCTCAGATAATAGATAGCCTTCTCCACTTTGTCCTCAGACTCCTGTGCAAGCATGCAGCCCATTGTAGTGTCAGTCACTGAAAGGTACAGAATCAACGGTTTCCCCGGCTCAGGCGGTGACAACACAGATGGGTTCTGTAAATATTGCTTGATCTGTTCGAAAGCAGCTTGGCATCGGCCGTCCCATTGGAACTTCGTTCCTTTCTTCAGGAGACCAAAGAATGGTTCACAAGTCAAGGTTAATTTTGCAATAAATCGTCTTATGAATTGCACTTCACCCTGAAAGCCTCGCAGCTCCTTTTCAGTCCTTGGTGGTGGCATTTCTAAGATGGCCTTGATTTTGGAAGGGTCAACTTCAATGCCCCTTTGTGTGATCAAGAACCCCAGCATTTTTCCTGATGTAACACCAAATGTACACTTCTGAGGATTCAGCCGCAACCGATACTCTCTGATCTGTTGAAAGAATTTCTGCAAGGCGGTGTAGTGGCCCTCTCTTTCCTTGGACTTGACAATCATGTCGTCCACGTACACCTCAACCTCTTTATGGATCATGTCGTGCAAAATTGTGGTCGCAGCCTGTTGATATGTAGACCCGGCATTCTTCAGCCCAAACGGCATAACCCTATAACAATAGGTTCCCCATGGGGTGGTGAAAGTAGTCTTCTCCCGGTCTTCGGGTGTCATTAAAATCTGACTGTAGCCAGAAAACCCATCCATGAATGAGAGCAACGCATGCCCCGCAGTGAAGTCCACTAATTCGTCGATATACAGCAGAGGAAAGTCGTCCTTCGGACTAGCTTTATTCAAATCCCTGAAGTCCACACATACCCGAATTCTGTTATCCTTCTTCGGCACTAGAACTATATTAGCCAACCAAGTTGGGTATTCGGATACCAGCAGGAACCCTGCGTCAATTTGTTTGGTGACCTCTTCTTTGATCTTGAGAGCCCAGTCTGGGCGGATCCTTCTGAGCTTCTGCTTAACAAAGTCAAGAGGGATCTGGTGCTGTACAATCTCAGGATCGATTCCAGGCATGTCTTCGTAGGACCACGCGAAAACATCTTTGAAATCTTTTAACAAAGCGACTAAGAGCTCGCGCTTCTCCGAAGACAACGTGGACCCGATCTGGACCAACCACAGGTCCTTCTGAGTACCCACATTAATTGTGGTGATTTCATCAACCAGCGGTTTTACAAACCTCTCCTGCTCTTGATCAAGCAAAAATTTCAAAACCAGAGGAATTTATTCCTCGTCGTTTTTATCAAAATTTTGAAAGTCCTGATAAATGCAATAAATTAAGGGCACAGAAAAGTAATCGAAGGCCACAGCCACACAATTCTCATTGATCACTTCCAAGTCGCCTGATTCCTCTGTTACAACAGACTCAAAGGAACAAGAAAAAGACGACCTAGACAGGACTGTGGCATCCGGGTTGTCACCCCCAAGAATACCGGACCTAGACTCAGACGAGCTGGAACCTGATTCTGACCCCACAGACTCAGTGGAATCAGATTCCGGCTCACTACCTGACCCGATGCTGCTCGATAAGAATCCCTCCTCGTATTGCCAGACGAGGGAGGGTACGATGGATGCATCCAGAATGTTTGAAGATGGGCTCGCAGCCGTTTCATTCCCGATCATGGACACCAAGAAGTTATCCCCCACGCACTCATGTACGATCGGAGGATCTGAAAGTAGACAAGTCAGTGTTACCCTCATTTCAATCTCTGCGCTCTCGGAATCCTCCTCCATGCACTGCTCAGCCTCAGCTGGTGGGTCTGTCTGCTCCTCAGCAACATCATCCCCAGACAACTGCAAGTCAAAGAATATCTCAAACCCCAGCAACCGCCGCCTTTCTGCATTTAGCCATGGTTCTGGGAAGCCGCAGAACGGAAAATCCTCCCCCTCCCGAACAAAGCATCTGTTTAGGGTGCCCTGAATGGGCCGGTGTATCAACTCATAATGCTTCCCGATTTGCTTTACCCTAGCCCTTCCGGCCATCTCTTTGCCTTTCCTCACCCAGTCCTCCTTGGTAGGCAAATAACCTAAGCCAAAGGTATGTGGGTTATGCAGCACTTTGGCCGATGCTGCAACGTCTTTCCGGCCACTGCGCCCTAATCCCATCTCGGGGATGTGCTGGAGCTTGTTCATGAGGTACACAGACTCTGCACTGACATATAACCCCTCATTAATAGCCAATATGTTCTGTATAACCCGGGCCTCGGCTAGGGTAAATCCTGACAGGAACACATCCTCTACGCCATGTTTGATCTCCAAAACCGGTGTAGACACCTCTGGCGGCGGATGGATTGAAGAATTCCTGAAAACAATGGCTACCCCCTTCCCGTGAGGGTACTTCAGCATCTGATACAGGGTGAAAGAGACAACCTTTACCTGGTGCAGCCACGGCCGCCCTAGGAGTAGATTGAAGGTTGTGAGAACGTCCAAGACATGAAAGTCAATATCGTGTTGTCCTGGACCAACCTGAGTCCGAATCTATACAGTCCCTATCACTTCTCTGTTGGTGTTATCATATGCCCTTATCATTTGGGCAGTAGGTAAAAAGTCTGCGGGCTTCAACCCAATTGCATATGCCGTCCTCGATGAACACACGTTGATGGCAGGTCCTGTGTCAACAAGAACTACTGGTATCCATTTTTCTCTGCACTCCACAGAAATGTAGAGCGGTTTGTTGTGATCTGAGCTCTCAGGCGACAGTTCCTTGTCAGTGAAGGTCAACGTCAGGGAAGCTCCTCCTGAAAAGACCAGTCCCACCAACTGCTCAGACGTGGTGTCAATTGAAAGTTTGGCTCTGTCCATCGCAGAAAGGATAGCCTGTCTATGAACTCTTGAGGCCATAAGCAGTCCCCAGATGGAAATGTCTGCTTGTATCTTCTTAAACTGTTTCAGCACAGCCTCCTCCTCAAGTAGCTTTTCTTTCTCCTTCTCTGCCTCCTTGTCCTTTCTGGACGCCTCTAGTTGATCTAGGTGTGGGGGCTTAAAATACCTTCCACTCCTGGTCATGTGGTCCACTTCCCCCACATACCAGGTATCATCCAGCTGGTTGTTCCCCCAGTCTTCGTCCGTGTGGGCAAGACATAGGTCGTCATCTTCCTACCACATGCCATCGGCCATTGACAAGCAGCTATCTGGTTCTGTTACAACTGTTCCTGTGTGCACAGCACATTCCATTTCCGTACGCACAGCACATTCTGTCCCTAGAGGGGCTTTGACCGTTCTAGCCCTCTTCAGATCTTCGATCTTTTCCTGCTCAAACTGTTTCAGTGCAGCCTGCTGCTCAGTATCTTATGTACTCAAACTGTTCTGATCCTGAGCAAAATTCTTATCACCGGTGCTCTCCGGCGGTTCTCTCTGTTCCTTGGCCACTCCGCCCACTGCTAATGTCCCCGTCTTTGACAGACCCTGTTCTGGCTGGGGCTGCTCAATAACATCCAGCTCGTCACTGAGCCACCCAATAGCTTCCGCTGACCCTTCCAGATCAAACTAGTTGACAGTCACGTCTCCCAAATCCTGTTTGTTGAAGAACTGAAGGTTGGCAATGTCCTCCTCTAACTCCGCTAGGTCATCTAGCCCCTGATTAGGTCCATCCTCTCGAACTACACAAATCTCTGCCCCCACCGGCAATTCCACCATTGGCTTAGGCTGATCCGTTGGTGTGATATAACCGTTCGGGTTGTACTCAAAACTTGCAGATCTATCAGGCTTTGAATCCTCATTCTTCCCTGCTCTCAAAGTGATCCCTGATCTATCTTCGGTAGTCACCACCACCGGTTCTGGTTGGGTTTGGGAGATGTCCAACATGCACAAGTCAATGCTGTCAGGAATGAACACCTCCGACTTGGGTAGGTGAGAAGGGGTGATATATATGCTAGGGTCATATGAGATAACCCCAGTTTGGATTAGGTTGATACGTTTGGGAGGTGGAGCTTGGTTATGTGGTGGGAGAGCGTTGGTTGTGACATTTGGTTTCTCCAGAGGCATAATCACCCTGTTGTTAATGA